GTAAAGGTGTGTCGGTAGAGGTTTTGTGGTTGGTTTGTTGCTTACTGTGCAGGGGGGCTAGCATGACGCCTACCCCCCCGCCTAAAGCATCTCTGGCCTCCTTCTCCAACATTATAATTTTTTTTTGGAGAGGGTGGAAGTAGGAAAGGGAAGATAATTTTCCGTCTATTTTGTCCAAGACTGTAGTAGCTCATGAAACCTTACCTCATTTTAGACATGATCTGTCCTCCCAATTTCGAACTGAGTCGAATTGCGCTGTGTAAAAAAAAAATAAATAAATAAAAATTCGCCTAACTTCTGATAGTGAGCGTGAGCGTGATTTATTTTTCCTAGCTATAGGTATTTCTTGAGCAGTGGTGCTAAATTTCACTTAGCCCAAAATCCTCTGCCCACCCCACCTCCCCGCCACCCGACCGCCCAGGCGATAAATAATGACCGGTCCCTAAAACCCCTCATTGATCTTTCCTGCACACGTTTCCTTGCCCCTCCCTACTGAAAGCCTCGAGCAGATCACTTACCTTACAGGAACACTTGCAGGAACACCAGCCAATGTAGAGCTGCCCCCTCCCCTTAATTATTTTTTTTTCCTGCAAGGAGGGGAGGCTGCGAGGCACGAGGTTCTTTAATGGACTGGGTACCAATCAGCGAAAGTTCCAACATGGCGGCTTGCGGTTGGTTGTTCCTTGTTCTGACGATCAGCTTTTGTGTCTGCTATGGAAAGAAAAAAGTTACAAAAGAGGTAAAAAAAAAAAAAAACTTATATAATAGTATCTAGTCAGGAGCTTAAATCTTTTCTTAAAATGCTAACATGTTTTGGCGACGAATTCGAAAGCGACGCGCATCTGTCCATAAAATTAAAGATGACTTCCCTGCCTGCAAATTAAAATGTGTTAAATTGTATTCGACTATTCTTAATTTGAATGTTTCTTTCAAAGAACATTTCCTGGCTTAAAGGTTGATGATCTTGTATGGTCTTTTCTCCTTGATTCTCGGCTGATGTGAGTTTTAACTCAATTTTTGCCCTAACTCAAGACCTGAAGTGAACTATACATTTTCTACTTTTAACTTACTTGTGGGTTGTTTCCACTGTCCTACACCAGTGGGTTACCAATAAACCCCCTTTTCTTTGCACTGCAGACGTCAAGTAAAGGCTTGATATTCACAAAACAATGTCTTATGAACAAGGGGGAAAAATACTCTGTCACAGGAGCAATTGCACATTAAGACCCCATCGTTCAACAGTCAGATGCCCATCCTTTTCATTTTTCATCAATTCTTTGACTATGCAGAGTTTTAAACCTTTCAGTAAATTCTTGGTGTATGCCCTAGGAGGGTACGCTGGGCTTGGGCTTCTTGGAACTGACAGGTACATACAAAAAAAGAAAGAAAGAAAGAAAGAAATAGATATAACTGCCTATGCAAAAGTCTATCTATAAGTGTATCTTTTATTTGCGCTTGTATTTGCCACTGTACTTAGGTAACAAAAATAATGCACAACAAGCTCACATGATGGGAAACCAAGCCAGTTCTGTAAAATAGGAAAATTGAACCAACTTGTTTGTGAATATAAAGATTCATTCAGTGTACTTATAGTGAGTCAGGGGCATCCAATGACAATTTCCTCTTGATACATTGAAAACACTTTTTAGGCTAATCCAGAGTACTTTTAGATCTGTAGAAATACATTCTAAGTGGCGCTATAAAATTTGTATCTGCTCGGTCATCCTAGGGGAACTTGAGTCTTTTCAAAGTTATAAGGGCTTGATTATTATTTTCTTGAAAATTTTAGATGCAATTTGACATGTTTAGAAATAAGACATTTTCTGAACTTCTCTCCATCATATTTTTGAATCCAAAAATTTTAGGTTTCCTTTTTTCTACGAAAAATAGCCTAACTTTGAAAGTGTATCGTGAAACAGAAAATCTTGGGAGTTTATTAGATAAGCTTCGAAAATTGTGCTTGAATGGAACAGTTATCTAGAAATTTTAAGTTGTCCTCAAGTGATAGTAAAAATTGTAGGCAATATTTGCTTCTCCGAACGGATTTTTTTAAAGAAAACAGTTGTTGGGTGCCCCTGGTAAGTAAAACGTAATGTTAAAATCACATAATTTCATTTTCCAGTCACTGTTGGACAGTCGTGTGAAACAACTCATGGACTGGAATCAAAGAAAACCTGTTATAAGGTTGAATGGGGATAAGTACAGAACTTATCTGAGGGCATCACCAAGGAATTATTCAGTGATTCTTATGCTCACAGCTCTAGCACCACACAGACAATGTACCATTTGTAGGTAAGAGATATTTTAATGAGCTCTTAGAGGCTCAAGTCGTGGTGTTTTAAATTGTGGGATTCTTTCACTCTCTGCACTTGTTTTCAAATGACAATGAAATATTTTATTGGTAAAGTCAACATCATACACATGTACATACATATCATCAGTATCATAGACCTCTATTACAACCATCACATTACTGTTAATTCTGATGAAATTGAAAAATGATTGCACACCTTTTTTGAGCTTTTAAATCCACTTTAAGTGCTTTTTTGCCTGCTTCATTTGGTGTTTGTAATGCAGGTATCAACGTTTAGATGGGGAGGGGATGGGCATACATGCAGGTGTGGTATTTGAACACTTGCTTTGTTCCCTCTCTGGGGATTTTGACCACAAATTTTGCCTCAAACTGTGGTTTTGTTGTCCGTGAAAAGGGATTCTATCAGATTTGAACTAATTTCCAGTCCTGAGGATCAGGAATTTGACAAAAAAGAAATTGCTAAAAAATTCAAATGCCGCCCCTATGCCTGTGACCCACCAACACCGCCCCTCCCCGCCCCCCATCCATTCAAAAATTGATACCCACATAAGCAGTTGTGTTTGGGTTTCCTTTTGCATCAAGTTTACCATTAAATTTCCAATGAAAGTAAAATAACAATACTCTGCTCATGCAATAGATTGTCCACATTTGTTGCTTCTACAACTACATGTACCTCGGGGAAGAAGTTGTCAAAATATGAAAATCCAACTTGGATATTATAGCAATTCTTAGTCTTTCACAGATTAGAGAGATTTACTGTTAAATAGATAATACACTAACTGAACCTTCAGTTGACTATGCCTCTAAATTATATTCCAAAGTTATCCTTACCTCTCTCCTTTTTGTGTCAGCTTATATAAAGTTCCTGGGAAAAGGAAGCAAATTTTTCTTGTCTTGTCAGGTAGCTAGTTTTCTGATAACATAAATAATAACTATGATTCACAAATAACAATTCACAATCTGTTGTCTTCTTTGCAGAGAAGCTAACAATGAGTATACAATCCTTGCTAATTCCTGGCGATATTCTCAGCAATATTCCAACAAAGTGTTCTTTGCAATGGTTGACTTTGATGAGGGACCAGATGTATTTAATGCGGTAAGACATATTTTAAATGAAATTAATGTTTTTTTGCATAAATTTGACTTCCTGATGGCACATTCCTGTACATTTAAATTTGGGAGTATGGGTACTTTATGCTCCTCATGTGTATCTACTGAAATGTTTCTTTTGTCACAAGTTCATTGAATGTCAGCCTTAGATATGTTGATTGCATGGAAACTGAAACTGTATTTTCTGTTACTGTTTTTTTTCTAGCTGCGGTTGAACTCTGCTCCGATGTTTATGCACTTCCCACCCAAAGGAAAACCCAAAAAGGCAGACACCTATGATATTCAAAGGTACACATTTACTGAACAAACATAATGACATGTGAAATACGTGGAGTATGTTACATATTGAATTTTCTTGTTTTCTTTGTAGAATGGGATTCTCTGCTGAACAGCTTGCGAAATGGGTTGCAGAGCGCACTGATGTTCATGTAGGTAGTTTTTATTTTATTTTTTTAGGTGATTTGTTTTGGAAATGCTTGTTTTATTTGATAAGTTCTAAATGTGAAAGCTTTGAAAATTCGTATTACATTTACTATTTAAGTGTCATCAAAGTCTATTGCAAAAAATTTTTGACTAAAACATTTCTTAAACAAGACATCTCTTCCTTGTCAGGACTCTAAAATGTAACTGTAATATCGTTCAAAGATATGGTATTTCCCTGGCATCTATTGTCACTATGATCACTTCAGACCCCTGGCTACTTTGTTCATAGCCAACTAAGGGAAATTAGAACCAAAAAAATGACGTAGCATATTATGTTGCCGCTCAAAATTAAATTCAGGTTAAAACTTTTCAACGTAGGTTGATTCTCTGAATAATTAGGGCTAGAGAATCAATCTAGGTTAAAAAAATTTAACCTGAATATATTTTTGACCTGTAATGTATAAAAGCAACTATAAGTCTCAGTGCATGACACTCCTGCTCTTGACATGAAAGAAGTCTGATTTTTTTTTTTTTCATAGCCATCTCTAAGCTAGTGTAATTTTCATTCTTGTAATTAATATTTCCTAGTTATGTGTAACGACTGAACCCAAATTTATTGAATTTTAGGTAAGAGTATTCCGTCCCCCTAACTACATGGGTGCAGTGATAATGGGATTGCTGGTTGTGCTGATTGGTGGACTGCTTTACGTGCGACGTAAAAACTTAGAATTCCTCCATAATAAGACCTACTGGGCCATTGGATGCTTGGTATGCGTAAACTCTTAGACTGGTACTGTTACAATAATGCTGTGTTTTGATAACTGTTAGTCCGCACACATATTTATCACATATTTTTAACCTTACAGTACTACAATGGCGTTTAATTCCAATATATTTAACTATAAAAGGTAGATATTTTTATATGAAACTTTTTCCTCCGAAAATCAACTTTGACAAATTCCATGGTGGTACATCCTATTTTGTCATAGCTTTAACCTTTTTTGTCTGTTGATCAGTCATTGCTGGATCCCATTGGCTGTTTCAAGGGGGTAATCAACCGCATTGAACTGTGGGCAGCATTTGATCAGTTGTATCCTGTGTACTCCTCCCATGCCGTTATGGTCTTGATAAATTCATTCTAGTGATCACAAAATTGGCAGAAATTTTGGGTGCAGGTCCATAAGATTAGAAGAGGGATGAGAGGTAATTTTGTTTGCCCCATTGAAATGCTGTCAACTATTCGAAGCAATCCTTCAGCTGAGAAATGCTGGTCCAAACTGACAAATACAAAAAGCACCATAGCCTATAAAATTAAATGAGATGTTAATCTCATTGGTGATTTGTTTTGTCCCTCTGTGGTAGATTGGGGAAGGTAGAGTTGTCTTTATTACTATAATAGATAACAAAATTATTCTTGATGTTTCCCAAGAGCTTTGCCTCTGGAAAGATCAAGCCATACATGTCAAAACTCTTCGGAAAACAAAATTGTTTCCTTCCCAACTGGGCATTAAGTGTATTTATTGTCATCATGTTTTCAGTTTATAGTTTTTGCCATGACCTCTGGCCAGATGTGGAATCACATCCGAGGGCCTCCTTACGCTCATCGAAATCCACAAACTGGACAAGTGGTTAGTAAGAAATGAGTGACTTAATAACTGTTTTGACCCCTGGTATCACTGACAAATCAGAACCCTGGGTAATTGGAATTGCAGCAGCAGCATACAAGCTGTCATGCATGTAACCATATGTAACTACAGTCGTTTGTGGCACCTTTAGACAGCTTGGGCCAGGGCCACATGGTGTTTGTGAAATACTTGTATCCCAAACAGATAAGCTGTAAGAAAAATTGGCCTATTTCTATTGAAGGACGGGCCTAGTGGCACATGATCACTCAAAACATGCCTTTACCCCTCCCCACCCGCCCCTTACACACACTTTCCACTCCATGTTTCACTCTAAAAAAAAAATGATTAGTTAAAGCAGCACTAAGTTCGGAGAAGTTAACGTTAATTGCAGTTTATCCTCTTGAGAACTACAGATTTTAGATTGTTTTAACTCTTTCTTACTTGAGGTGCTGTATGCACTATTTATTTATGGGTCCTATTTGCACCCTAACTGTTATAGCTATGCAACTCTTTAATTTTTTTATATACATATAATTTTCCACAGTTATATTTTCGTGGTATTTTTCTTCTTTCTGTATTAATAGCATTTTTATTGTTTAATTGTTATACATTTACCTTGAAGTGGGAAATGTATTTGCCAGTCTGACTCATAGCAATTTTATTATTTTACACTCAGTTACTTTTATTTATTCATTTGTTATCATGGGTGAAGACCCTTATGCTCTTTGCCTCTGGGGTACAAATGTACCTCTCTTTTACAATGGAACTAAAAACAAAACCCCCCAACCATAACTTTTCCACATGTTACCTTAGGAAAAATTTAGTATTTCTTAACAATTATGTGATGTTTACAATACCATTTGTGTGTTCATCGTTTTGCTCTATTTTTTTTTTTTTTTTTTCAGAGTTACATCCATGGAAGTAGCCAGGCTCAGTTTGTCGCTGAAACACACATTGTCATTGTTCTTAGTATCCTTTTACGTTTTACTGATTAATAATTATTCAAAGTAAACTTTTTCTTTATTAATAATAATTATTGGTTATTGTAGAAGTACTTTGGGCTTTGTCAGGTGTTAATGGGAAGGAATGAGTCAGGAAGATAAGAAATGTATTTAATGTTGCAGAGGTAGGATTTTTAGTGATTGCCCATCTTCCAAGCCACAGGCTCATGTTCAAGAAGCTAGACAAGCTAGTAAAATACAAAACATAATATTGAAAATACATAATAAGATCTAAAAGCCTAACTTTTAAGTACAGCATTCTTTAAAAGAGAAAACTTAAAAATAACGTAAGTAACAACGTCCCTACAATATCATAAATCGAAGCCCGAAGAACATTTGGGTGGTAGACTATTTATGCCTTGACTGTTGTTAAAGATGCTCTTTATGTTGCTGGCATGATTCTTTTGAATGAGAAGGCACTTGAAGTCAAGGAAATTGGAAAACGTAGATGTATGTATCAGTATTTGTTTGTTTGTTCTTTTTTTAATACTTTGTGTTTTCTTAGAATATGAAGCCTATTTTTATAACTAGTTAAAGCTCTTTTTGAAATCGTGCCTTTGTAAACCGAGAAAGGTTGAAGGATGGCTGCAAACAAAAATTGTGTCAAAATGAAATTGGCTTATTGCTGTGACAGCGGTACTGCAACTTGGACACTAAGCATCTTTTTTTGTTAACAATTTGGCTTCTCCTATTATGAAAACTATTTGAAAAACAAAAAAAGAAATAGAAAACTTTGGAAATGTTAAAAACTGTGGTCAAGCCAAGAAAACACACAGACTCTATACATTTCAGTGTTAATTGTTAATCCCATTACGGAATGATTTTTTTTGAATTTTTGAAAAGATATGGATTAATTTAACATGCTGTTTATTTAACACTGAGGTCACAGATAACGCAGGAAAATTCGGGAATGTAAATAAACTTTAATAGGATTCAGTTGCCATCAACTCGCATAAAAATCTGTGTTTCGACCGAGAATTTTGAATACAGACTTTCAAAATGATAAATTATGGCTTAAAAACTTTTTTATTGTGAACTTTCTTCCCGAAAAAATTGTTCAGTCTTTATGGTTAGGTTTATGACTTCGGTTTTTGTCCGTTACATGCCTAACCACTTAAAGTGTGTTTCCTTGTGTTTCAGTTGTAGTCATGGTCGGCCTTGGCCTTGTAGTACTGTTCTTCAGCTTGTTGCTGTCTGTGTTTCGTTCCAAGTACCATGGATATCCATACAGGTAAACATACTCTAAGAAAAAACAGAAATGAATTTGAAATTTAAAACAAAAAAAATGGTCCCGCTTTGTTATATTATCCTGTATTCCTCTGAGAAGAGGTTTTTATCTTGTGCTCTTATGCCCATAAACTTGCTTTTGGTTCTAGTCTCAAAAGGGGTTTTGGATACACTCAGTTCTAACAGCAGTTCAAAACTTGAAAAGCTCGTGGTGACAAAGCTGGTAAAAAAGTTGGTGGTGATGGTGATGGTGCTAGTGCTAGTTGTGA